ACACAGATACAGATAACTGAATCACACACTTCTAATTGCAATGAAGTGTGTGCAGTGTACACCATGCATGCACCCACATAATGTAACAACTGACCATTGGTAAACCTTGGAGCATCTTTCCCAAGTAATTGTGTTTGCAGCTTCATTTTTCTGTCATTAGAATGTATTCTAATGACAGGTATTCTGTGATACTTCTGTCACTATTTGGAGACAAACAGATTCAGACAAACTGTGTCAGCACACTGTAGTTAAGTTAAATGCTAGAGTGGTACCAAATATGGCAGAATGTATTTATCTGAGTTTTTCCCCAGTATGAGAAAAGTTACTTTTACACACATGTGCATGCACAACAGTGGGCCTGAAAACTGTTTGTAGGTTGTGTTTTTTCAAAAGTTTCCTCATGCGGTCTGTGACCCCTTTGATGTATGGCAGAAATACTTTATTTGTTGGTGGCTGTTTTTCTTCTTCAGTTTGTTGTTGTTGTTGGTGTTGTTGTTGTTTGTTTGTTTGTTTGTTTGATGGCTCTTGTGATTTCATTTTTGGAGTAGCCATTTGCCTGTAGGGCCCAATTCAGATGGTTGAGTTCAATGCTGAGAAACTGAGCTTCACAGTTACGATTTGCACAGTCTAACCGAACTGAACCATCTGAATTGGGCTCTTATCACAACAATACACCCATAACAAAAAACACCCTGATCACCATAATCGCCCAGTCTTCCGAAAATAGCAAAAAGCTGATCCCACAGCTACAAATACTGAACTATCCCACAACTACACCAGAACACAGACAGCGTTCTAACCCCTGTCCTCTGAAGATGCCAACTACAGAAATTGGTGAAACATTAGGCAGAAAAAACTCCAGAACATTGCCAAACAGCACGAAAGACCTACAACAACCATCAGATCCTGGCTGTGAAAGCCTTCAAGAATGCAAAATGTGTATTCATTTGCTGTTTTCTCATCTAAAAGATTACTGCAAAATATGTTGATTGCAGACTAGTACTAATGTTAGGCATAAAAATTGAATCCTATATCTGACAGTTAAGTCCCAATGAATTCTATGGCGCTTGCTCCTGGATAGATGAATAGAGGCAAAACACACCAAATAAGCGTGGTGGGTTTGTTTGTTTGCATTATTGTTAACAATTATTGTTAAAAACTCTTGAAAAGTGGATAGGTTATTTTAACTGAGTCATTTTAATTTATCCATATTGAAGGTAAATCCCTTTTTTAAAATCTGTGATCTGTTAATAGAATCCTGTTGTACACAGGCATTCACTACTTCTCTCTTGCCATTATTTCTGTTTCCACATCCAAACTAAATATAGTTGTGAATACATTTCTGTTGCTGCTCACAGTAATTGTTCTTGCTTGCTTACAAAAGTGCTTCAATTTTTGTGCAAATTGGTCAAATACTATCTGAAAAGGAAGACCTCCTCATCTACATTGCCCCAAGCTGAAGAGGTCCTGCCTTATACATGTTCATAGATGAGAAAGACAGAGGCGGCAAATCAAATTCTTCATTGATCTTGTTTGAATACACAGGGATTGAAGCCTAGATTTCTAAAAAATATCTGCATCCTAAAAGCCCTGCACCTCTGTGATCAAACGTATTTGTTTTGGTTTCTCTCACACTTGATTTGTATCAAAATTCTCAGTTCTTTTCACCCTGACTAGAAAGGCATTTGCAAATGATGGTAAATTCTTAATAAAACCTACCTGAAACGAAATTCTCGCTTGTGCCTCACAACACCTTCCTGATCAAATTGAGGGGAACAAATACTGAATTAGGTAGCAGTGTGATTACTTGCTGTGCAAATATTGTCTGAAATATCTCCTGAGCGCTTTTGAACTGTGCTACAAATACTTTTTATCTTACATGTTGAAACAGGCTAACATAGCTACCTCTTTAGTAACAGACTGATAACTTGAGCTAATTTTTGAGTTCGCCGTGGGAGCCTAGCATAAACAAAGAAACTTGGGTAAAATCTGTTTTGAGAATCCACTTCTCAGGGTAACATGCCACAGAAAAACAGATTTGCATTTAACACATCTATTTTAAAGTGCTGCTTTAATAATAATAATAATAATAATGATGATGATGATGATGATGGTGGTGGTGGTGGTGGTGGTGATGATGATGATGATGATGATGGTGGTGGTGGTGGTGGTGGTGATGATGATGATGATGATGATGGTGGTGGTGGTGGTGGTGGTGATGATGATGATGATGATGATGGTGGTGGTGGTGGTGGTGGTGATGATGATGATGATGATGATGTAAGAATCACAGAGCTGGAAGGGACTCTATAGATCACTAAGTCCAGCCGCTGCCTAAATAAATAAATAAATAAGAAGCCCCGTGGGGGACTGAACTCCCTGCCTCGGGCTCTGCAGCCAGATACCTAAACCACTCAGCTTTCCAGAAGTGTTTTACTTTTAAAAAAGAAGAAAATAGCCTGCCATTTTTTAAACATCGTAAATGTATGGAATTAGATCCACTTCATTTGTGACCCGACTAGAATGAATGACAACAAAATATGTGTGTAAGAATGATGCCTTTGTTCCTATCCCAGTTCAAATACACAGATCTGTAAAACATGGTTTTATAAGGGTCTGAAAAATAACCACCATCTTCAAAATATCTCTCTGAAATGTTTTAACCATTCACGTAACTACAAAACCTTTAAAAGCAGCTGCATCAGTTTCTATTAATGATGTATGTCATAAATTACACACATTATTAACATCTGGCTATGGCTTTTCAATTAATTAAAATTCTTTGGGCAAGCTAAACAGACCTCGAGAACTCCCAGAAGGGGAGGGTAAACCATAAGTACTCCATACCTAAACAGCCCTGGAAAGGGTCAGCAAGGAAAATACAAGACACAAGTCTTTGGCTAGAGATTGGCATGAACTGCTGCTGGTTCAGGGTTTCATATCAGTTCAGTTATTGGCCGAACAGGTGTTTGACGCTTCAAAGCCCTGCCTTCTCCAACAGGCACCCATTCAGAGGCAGTAGCCTGGCTTCCTTGCCCTGCCTCCTCTGGGTGCTGACTATGAACGGGTCTCTGCTGGAGAAGGCAGGGCTTTAAAGTGCTGAACCTGGGTCTCTGAATGGAGAAGGCAGGGCTTTAAAGTGCTGAACACCTGCTCAGCCAATAAACAAACCAGCAATAACTGCTGAATGGTTGGTTCATGCCCATCTTTCTATATAACAGATATAAGGTTTAACCAAAGATCTAAGTATCAGAGTAATGTGCTTCTTTTTCTTCTTTAGATTATGGCTGAAATCAATGTGGGTCTACTTCTCTATTACATTTCTTTTACAGAAGGACAATTTAAGAGAGGAACATATTCTACAGCAGCCATTCTCAATAGGAACCATATGCCCTTCTGCATATTTGGGGGGCCTTGGCATATTTGAGGGGGGTCATAGACTGGAAACAATTCTTTACACACCACCTTATAAGGTTCGTTATACAATCCTGATTTGGCCTATTTTTCTTTCATATAGTGTTTTATAAGCATGGCCAAAAAAGAATGCTTGAGAATGGCTGGTCTACAGTGCTGCTGGCAATTTTTTTTTCAGATTTTCACAGAAACTGGGAATGATGAATCTTCTTCCATGAAGACCTCTCGTAACAGGCACCATTGTCAGAACCAATGAATGATGTGAACTGCTGGCTTTTCAAAGGACTGCCCTTGGGCCAGAGGTTTCCAGATGTCAATACAAGCCTCTGTGATCTTTATACTAGAATATTGGCATTTATGAGCATTTCTTTCTACAAAGTGCAGGTAAGTAAAAAACCAAAGAAATACCACAAAACAATGCCCTTCTGAGCAGACAATGTTTGAATATCCATTTCATTTTTAGTATGTTCTTTCACACCATTTTGGGGTCTAAATGCAACATTCTTTGTAATGAAGTACATCATCTATGGTTCTAACATCCACAGTGAGAAAAAAGAAAGAAGACTTTGCATCACATCATTCGAACTGGAGAGAATGCTTTCATTTTTCACTGGAAATAAATGTTCTCTTTTTGGTGAAAATGTATATATTTCCCAACATTGTGAGGAACTCCTAAATCCTTTAATTGTTACATAACCACTCAAAACATACACGCATACACACACACACACACACACACACACACACACACACACACACACACATGCCAGTCTAAAAGAAATTCCTTGTTTCTTCAAATGCGATGCAATTTTCTCTTGGGACCTGTCCCTGCAGAGAAGCAACAAACAGGCAAAATAGACCAGTGGAAACTGCCACTTGTTGCCATTCTGGGCCTTGCTAAAACACATGTTCTTTCAAATCGCTTGAGATATTTTAAAAGACACATTTGCTGTAATTATGGCTAGCCTGCTTTATAATTCATTTAATTTTATTTTTGATGTAAATGAAGCATATGTTTGTATGTGTGCAGCAAGAGACCGTAAAAATAAATTTTTAATTATAAAAGGATGTAACATCATCCAATATTAATAACAACCAACAATGTGGAATATGTGTTTATATATAAAATCCATTAGGAAGATAAGCTGAGTACAGGCCTAAAAATAACACTACAATTTTTCCTATATATACACTTCGGGATGGAGAACCTCCACTGAAAATAAAGTGCAAGAAATTAATTTAATTGATTCCATAAAACAAGAGAACAGCCATGCTGGAACAGACTAAGGCCCATCTAGCATTCTGTTTCTAGTAGTAGTCAAGAAGATGTCTCGGGGAACCGCAAACATAGGGAATGAAGACAAACTCTCCCCTCTGTTATCTGTTGCCATCATAAGGTGCTCACAAAGCAGCTCCATCAAACTTGTTGTCTTTTGCCGGCAAGATCAGCAGAGAAGGTGAACAACTTCTTTTTATTTTCCTTTAAGCTGCCTTAAACCAGCTTCACTAAATGACCAGCTTCACTAATATTTAGTATTATGAGTGATGGAGAATATATTTGTTTCTGTTCTCTAAAATTCCTCCTATACAATCCTTGGAAAGATTTTGAAGACAGTTCCCTGCTTCCCCTTCTCTTCCAACACATCTAGCAACTAGGAAATCTCACAAAGGGGTGGATTTACTTTTTTCAACCCTAAACAAACTGCACAAGATTTATAATGTGATACATTTACACAGGTGTAGCTTCCAGATCTCACTTTAGAAACATGTGTTATTGTTGTGAATATATCCTTCAGCAGAGATGGTTTGGTTTGTGGGGATTCCATATAGAATGTCATTAGTGATAACAGACTTGAGAGATCTCCAGAGCCAGTTCTAGACACTCACTGGTTTCATGGCAAGACTCAAAGATGCTGCAGTCAATGTCACAATCACAGCTGCAATCACTGTTGCTGGAGTCATCGCTTGAGGTTTGCTGATATCTATGGGAAGGACAGCATACACTGGTCAGCCAATTTTCACAGACATCTGGCAGCATGAATAGAAAATCCAGAAATTGGCAGAACAAGCAGGCCAGGATGAGTGTGGCACATTCATCTGTTTTCAAAGAGAGAAGAGCAGGGAGTGAGGTTCTCAAGAGAAAATCCAATTTATAAACAACTTCAAGCACCCAAAGAGGAAGATCTTCCTCCCCTCATGAAATTGCCAGGAAGCAGATTTAAAACAGGCTCCAGTTATCCAGAATTCCACACGGAGACAGCAGCAACAGCGACGTGAGTCACAGAACTCAATGTCAAGTTGGTTTTAAGTCACATCGGTGACTTGACTCAGACTGAACTTGATTTTTTTTAATGACTTGGGCTCAACTTGCGATTCAGAGCCCGCCCGCCCCCTTCCCTTTTCTAGGCCTTACTGAAAGCCTTATGTTTCATGTGTTTGTCTCATACCATACTGAACTCTAAAGTACAAATTAAAGCAAAGTCTGCTTTGAAGCCTTGGGTTGATGTTTCCACTGAATGACTTGCTTTAACCCTGAGATCTCTTGTTTGGTTTCCCACAACCGGCTCAGAAAACCATTTATTTGGGTTTTGTTTGTTTGTTTGTTTGTTTTAATTCTGTGCATTGGAAGGGCCCCAGGCAGTTCACAAATGATTAAAACAAGTTGGACTGAAACACAACAAGCCACAAAAATAATCAAGCATACAATGGGAATTAAAATCTGCCAATTTTAAGTGGTGAATAATGCTTAGCATATATATGAGACTTTGTTTCTTTGTTCTCAGTGACACCAAAGGTATAGTCAAGGTCCCACCAATTTTGCCCACCTGGCCACTGAATTGCTGCCACAGGTCTGTGTGATTCGTTCCATGGAGAGTATACAATACCTTCATCATGTAGGGATGTGAAGAATGCTTGCTAAATTCCTCCTCCTTGATTTTGACTGTCTGGACACAAGACCCCTCAGCAACAAATCTGGCAAAATCCCTTGCCTTTTGTTAAGAAAAAGACAAAGGACTCCAAGACCATACACCACCAGCACAGAAGGGCTGATCTGTTCCTTAAGAAACAGCTCATTCAAAACTTAAAATTTGCAGATATCCATGAAACAAAGCAGTGGGCACCTGCGTTTGCTTCAGTTGATTGCCCTGTTGTTTTCATGACGTTGTCTTTTGCTTTCTTTTGCATGACATATCATCCTCTCAAACAGGAAGAAGAACTGGGAAGTGCAGTAAAATCTTGGGTGTTCTTCTCATGCAAGGAGAAACAATTGGATTCTTTCTCCTGGCCTGAAAGTATGAGACAACAAAGGATTTACAACTCTGGCTAAGCCTGACTGAGAAAAAGGAATCAAGACTAAGCCCAGTCATTTTTCTCCTCTTTCCTGTTTGGTTTGATAAAACAAACTTCAGGATTCCATTGACAAAAAAACAAATACTACTGGGGGGGGGCTGAATTTCTTCCAGGAATGCAAACCTTTCCTTATCTCATTCTTCTGCATTAAATAAAAAAGAGCAAAATTTTCTTCTTCCTTGCGAGAGTTTTATATTTGTTCTTCTATCTTGCAGGCAACTTACCTATTCCCAAGACCAATTTTTGCACACGCCTTTAAGGGTGGAACATGTTGCTCTGGGGACATGAAATCTTGTGGGGACTGAAGAATCCTTGATACCCTGTCTCAGTCTTTTCATATTCCTATTTTTTTTTCCTCATGAAATCTGTGCATTTCTTCCCTAAGGTCTTATGGAAGGCCTTTATTTTAGGACCGTAGCAGGGCAGTAAAGGAGTTAGCATTTCCACTTTTTTCCTCCTAGAGATTTGATAAGTATCAGCCCCATAGATTTGATAAGTATCAGCCCCATGTGGCCTGTGCTGCAGGGTCAGAAGACCAGCAGTCGTAAGATCAAATCCATGCAACAGAGTGAGCACCCGTTGCTTGTCCCAGCTCCCGCCAACCTAGCAGTTCAAAAGCATGCAAATGCAAGTAGATCAATAGGGACCACCTTGGTGGGAAGGTAACGGCGTTCCGTGTCTAAGTCTCACTGGCCATGTGACCACGGAAAATTGTCTTCGGACAAAAATGCTGGCTCTATGGCTTGGAAACAGGGATGAGCGCTGCCCCCTAGAGTCGAACACGACTGGACAAAAATTGTCAAGGGGAACCTTTACCTTTACCTTTACCATAGTTAATACAGTATTCATATTTAATTGGTAATGATATTTGTTGGTAGATCAAGAGAGTTGCTATGGGATTCCCTGTGTCCCTACATACAACCAATCTCTATACAGAAACCTTTGAGAAACCAGTGTTTCCTTTTGTCAACCCCCTTTGAAAAATTGTATAGATTCATACACAATAGGACTGTAACCTGGGTGAAGGTGACAATCCTTTAGAAACTAGGTGGGTGAATTCCATAAACAATTTAATTGGTTTGACACCCACTACAATACAATACAAATCAATTTTTCCAGATTTAAATGGGGGGAAAACCCACAGGATTTTGTGTCGTTGTTAAGTGCGGTCAAGTGTCCTCTGATTTATAACAACCCTATGAATGAGAGATCTCCAAAACACCCTGTCCTCAACAGCCCTGCTTGTTTCTTATAAACTGAAGCCTGTGGGTTTCTTAGGAAGTAAATCCATCTTTTATTTGGTCTTCCTCTTTTCCTGCTGCCTTTCACCATTCCCCAGCGTTATTATTTCTTCCAGGAAATCTTGCCTTCTCATAACATGCCCATAGTAGGACAGCCTCAATTTTAACATTTTTGCCTCCAGAGATAGTTCAGGCTTGATTTTATCTAGGACTCACTTGTTCATCTTTCTGGTAGTCCTGGGCATCTCCATAGGTCTCATCCTGCACCGTATTTTAAAAAAAATTAATTTGTTAGCTTTCTTTACTGTCCAGGTTTCACACCCATGCATGGTGATTAGGAATACTAGAGTGTGGATAATCTTGATCTCCAGTGATGCATTGCTACACTTTATCTTTTCTAATTCCTTCACTGCTGCCTTTCTGAGTCTCAATCTTCTGATTTCTTGGTTCACTCTCCCTTTGGATTGATGATTGAACCAGGATATACAAAATATTTCATTATTGTATTTCATTTTCAACATTGAACTTGGGTAGTTTTGTAGTCCGCAGTTGTGATCATTGTTTTAATGTTCACCAGAAGTCCTATTTTGGCACTTTCACTAAAAGTCATTTCAAGTCATACAAAGCAGTGGGCACCTGCGTTTGCTTCAGTTGATTGCCCTGTTGTTTTCATGACGTTGTCTTTTGCTTTCTTTTGCATGACATATCATCCTCTCAAACAGGAAGAAGAACTGGGAAGTGCAGTAAAATCTTGGGTGTTCTTCTCATGCAAGGAGAAACAATTGGATTCTTTCTCCTGGCCTGAAAGTATGAGACAACAAAGGATTTACAACTCTGGCTAAGCCTGACTGAGAAAAAGGAATCAAGACTAAGCCCAGTCATTTTTCTCCTCTTTCCTGTTTGGTTTGATAAAACAAACTTCAGGATTCCATTGACAAAAAAACAAATACTACTGGGGGGGGGCTGAATTTCTTCCAGGAATGCAAACCTTTCCTTATCTCATTCTTCTGCATTAAATAAAAAAGAGCAAAATTTTCTTCTTCCTTGCGAGAGTTTTATATTTGTTCTTCTATCTTGCAGGCAACTTACCTATTCCCAAGACCGGACTGCCGGTAAGATTGTGTCATCTGTATATCTTATATTATTGATGTTTTTTCCATCAACGTTCCCTCCTCCTTCATTTGGATCTAGCCCAGCTTTCCATATGATATGTTTTGTGTACAAACTGAACAGATAAGGGGATAAAATAGACCCTTATCTGGTATCTTTGCCTATAAGAAAGCATTCTGTCTCTTCATATTCTGTCCTGATGGTAACTTGTCCACAATACAAGTTACTCATCAGGACAATCAAGTGCTGAGGCCCACATATTTCTTTCAGAACATCCCATAGTTTCGCATGATCTAAAAGATTTTGCTGTAGATTTTAATCTAGCCATTTTAAAAATATGTTTGTTCTGAAAGAAGAATGAGTAGCGCTTCCATTAAATATGATAAAGAAATAAAACTGCCATGAGGTAGAAAAAGTTAGATCATTATTCATCTGAGTTAAAAAAGAGCAAAATTTTCTTCTTCCTTGCGAGAGTTTTATATTTGTTCTTCTATCTTGCAGGCAACTTACCTATTCCCAAGACCGATTTTTGCACACGCCTTATATATATAAGTTGATTGTAAAATGTGTGTTGCAGGCTGCTAAGTTACATTGATCATTTGATTCTCTGATTTCATTGCCAATGGTGAGAAGAACGCTGCTACTTATTTGTCCTTTGCAGGGATTTTGGCAAATCTTTGGGAGTAAGTCCCAAGTCTGAGTGTGCGTCTTCAGGATCATGTTCCAAGTCCAAGTCAAAGTTTTAGCGACCGAGTAACAAGTCTGAGTCTCTGAGTCATAGGCCCCGCCCCCCAAAGCTTGGGACTCAGACTGTCCATGCACCACCCAGCTGATAGGCTGAGACATGAGCAGAGACAGTAGGCCTCTACACAGGTGCCAGCCTATCAGCTGGGCCGTGCATCTGTGGGTAGAGGCAGCAGCTTCTGAAGATGGCGGCAGCAGGCAGCGGTGACTGGTAGGCCCATAGGGACTTGACAACATGACTCGGACAAATGGGTCCAAGTTGTGAGTTGAGTCACCCGAGAGCTGAGTCTGAGTCAAGTCACCAGTAAGACTTTAGTTGGACTCAAGAGCGAGTCATGACTTGTGAGTCCCCATTGCTGGCATGAGAGCTGAGTCTGAGTCAAGTCACCAGTGAGACTTTAGTTGGACTCAAGAGCGTGTCATGACTTGTGAGTCCCCATTGCTGGCACTTTGTGGGCTACAGCCAATGTTCTGTTCATGCACCTTTCTTTCTCTCCCCCTCTGTGATACCAAGAATCAACTCTGGATTTGCACACAGTGGTCGAGGGATAGGAGCCACCCTATCCTGGTTTCACTGCAACCCACTATTCTGTCAGCAAAGATCTACTTTTCCACTACATCCTGTCTTATCCAGCTGAAGAAGCAGGGAAATAGTTGATTCTTCTGTTAGGAGTTCCCTATATGATACAGGCTCTTTCGAGAGTTCTCACTTGGTTAATTGGCATGTGCAATCACTCTATTGTGTGCAGTTATGTATAGAAGCCACATCACACATCACAACCTCCTAACACAGATTTAAACAGGATGTTCATCCTGCGGTACTTTAAAAAAGAATCTAGTGAATGCTTCCTTAAATGTGCCAAATATTACTTAAAAACATAGTTTTGCAGTAGCAGATAATAACACTAGGAAGCATAGCATTGAATTAATTTCTATTAGTAAGCTATCACCCATAATATTATCAATTTTAATAGATATCTAAATTTGTCAGGGATCTATTTAAGTTCAGACAAGCACAAGTAACTTCCAAGTCAGTCCTGGAGAATGAAAATGACTAGATTTGGGAGATACTTAGTAAATTCATGCTTATATTTTTTTCTGAGTAAATGAACTGAAATAATTATTAAATTGAAACATTTTATAAGGTGACACTGCTGCATTTAATTGTATGAAATTTACAGTGTAGAAAATGTAATCATTTTATCCAGTAGTCCATGGTGTAATTAAGGCTCTTCTCTTTTAGGTAACACATATTTATAAAATTCCACCCTTTTTTTCCCCCGTTTTGCACCAAGACAGAAGAAATATCAAATCTGAAATTGCTCGTCAATTATGAATCCTTTTAGTTCTTAGTTGAAATGTAAGATCTGTTTTCTTAATAATATGCACAATCTTCAGTTTATTAACCTTGTTGGCATCTGCGTAATTTTAATCAGAGAATGGATATTGCTCTCAAGGCTTTATCCATTATTTGGGGGAAAGACCACACAAAAAGCACAACATTTTAATAATAAAGTAATGTTACAGCACACAGACCGTGCTATATGCTAAAGATGCTTTTAAATCCCCATCAGAGCACACACCATGAAACTGTTCTAATGGATGTAACACATTTTGCAAAATCTGCATGTATGAGCTTTTCTCCTCCTCCCATATCTGTTTTAAGTGGCTGATGTACAATAAATAATAGATATTAGCAATTAAGCATTCATTTCTATGCATTCATTTATATATTTGAAAATAAATTAGCCACAAACGGCATCAATGCAGATGCAGCCCTTCTGTTTTCTCTTCTGCTTTCCCAGCTGTTCACAGGAAAGGAAAACATTATTGCCTTTATCTCAATTAGAAAATGACCTCACGTCTCCATAGGTGGATTAATGATTACACAAAACTCTTATATTTAATGTTAAAGGACTGACTTTGCTCTATCAAGCCAGGCTTGATTTATGTTGCACCACTGCCTAAAAAGCACCTGGTGTAAACATGCCACATTTATTTTGGACTTAATACTGACATTGCTGGACTAGCAACTAACAGAACACTTCCTGCAAAATGAGTTACGTGATTTTATCCAATTGTATAATTAAGTTACTTCATTCCCTTCAATGAAACTCATTAGCTGTGGGTTTTTTATGATGCATTTGGTTTATCACATTTTAGGTGATTACCTCAAAAACAGGATTTAGCGTAATTCCAACATGGTACTAAGAGTAGGGTTCATTCAGTTCAAAGGGGTTTACTCCTAAATAAATGGTTACAGAACTGTATACTTACCGTACTTTTCACCTCTCAAATCTTCTGTATGTGTTAGAGTTTTGAAGTGCTTATCACAGAACAGATGCTTAAAATCAAGGCAACTTCCATTTGCTGTTATGTTTCATTAAAGGTAAGGCTAATTAAATCCTGATAGAGGTGTGTGTGTGTGTGTGTGTAACTTACGAGTGATAAGTTATTTTCACCACACTCATTCATGGCTACGTAAAGCTGGAAGAGTATGAGATTTCTTTTGTATTAGCAACCAATAAAGCTGCACAGGTAGTGTTCAACTTGTTGTTGTTGTTGCTGCTGCGTGCTGTCAAGTCACTTTCAACAAATGGAGACCCTATGAAAGAGTAATCTCTAAAATCGCCTGTCCTCAATTGTCCTGCTCATCTCTTATAAATTCAAGCCTGTGACTTGGAATCAATCCATCTCGTATTTGATTTCCCCCTTTTCCTGCTGCCTTCAGCCTTTCCCATCATGATTGTCTTTTCCAGAAAACTGCCTTATCATGATGTGCCCAAAAGAAGAGAGCTTCAGTTTTTCACATGTAGTTTAGTGCAATATATAAAAGTAGTGCATGTATAAAAGTACTGTAAATTTCTCTTTTCATTTAATGGAGGAGAAGATATAGTTCTGAAAGTAAATATCTCAGTGTGTTTGCATATGTGTAAATAATGTATATGTGTGCATCTATTCTCAATTTAAGGAAGTGTAAGCCATTCTCCTCTCTGTGAATTCATTGTTGTATATACCATAAACATGTGCGGATGCAAATAATAATTGATCATAAGCCTTTGTTGTAGCTGTGATCTCTTATACTGTAAAATCCCCATTTTGTTAACTGCCTTCACTGAGATTTAAATTAAACATCCCAAGAAGCTTGCTAAATACTCAGCTTTCGCTTAATAATTAAAAAAAAGTAAACATTTCTTGTTGCATCAGATTCAAGAGCCCAATTATTGTGAAAGATAAGCCATAAAATAGATCCAACTCTAATGATTGCTTTGGAGCATTGTGGTTTATTGCGCTGATCTGTACTTAGAACTTCTTAGTTCAAGGATCATTAATATGATAAACGTGACAAATTTTATCCATTTGATAACAATCTTTTCTAATGTCACTTTGCAAACTGCAGCATCAGCCACATTTCATCTAAGGACCAAAAGCATCTCAGATGGTGTACTGCGGTACTTTATAACTTTGAAAGAAAAATTAAAATTAAAGAGCCAAGGATGGTACACACACACACTTGCATGTGCAGCTATCTTATAGCTACAAGTCCTGGAGTTTCATATCACAGTACATATGTGTTTTTATGTACAATAACCTATCCTATATTTCTACCAGCATAATGCTAGAGGTGTACTTTTCGGTGATGAAATGCTACAAGTTGTCACAGTAGGCATCACACAGTAAGTCAATGTACAATAAATGTACAATAGGAAATAACCACACAAACCTCTTAACCCGCGACAATTCCCTGCCAATAGTTATGCTGCTGGTGTTCTGATAGTGGCCCACCATAGTCTTAGAGGGCCCTTCGCACACCTGGTACTTACTCCAATTTGTGGACCTAGCTGGACTAGCTGCTAAATCAATGCGTTTATATAATGGCTGATCCACTATTCTGCAACTGATTCAGTGTCTCTCTACCACAAACAAGGTTCCCACTGTGGTTTAGTGGATAGAGTAATGGACTAGAACTCTGGCGCACAGGTTCAAATCCCCAATTAGCCTTGTAAATTCACTGAAGGAGTGGAACTTGTAAAATCATCCCTTAAATATCTCACTTAGCTTGAAAGCCCTATTAGGGTCATTAATAAGTCAGTTCCAACTTGACTGTACTGAACACACACCATGAAGGTACTGATATATTTCTGTAAGATTTATAAGAAATTATAAACTTGGGTGGAATCAAGCCAGATTTTTTTCATTTCCTTATCTGAATACCTAGTACAGTATGGATAGAAGGGAAGAGATGGATAAAAGGTGGGCTTGTAAATCTGTGAATTTCTCATTATCTTGAGAGTTTTTTGTTCCATGGACATATTAAGGCAAAAGTGTATATCAAGATAATATATTTGTCTTTCCCAATTCTCCTCAGTGTCATCTCCCTAGACCAATATACACACCCTTTGGTATCACATTTGTTTCCAGGGCATGTGTGTTTAGAACCCAGTTCATGTATAATTAGAATCATATAATCTATACACTCTCTAAAATGAACTGAAGCCTCGCACCCCCATTATCCATGTACATCACTAAATATATGAACAGGGCATTTACAACATTTAGACATCTGCTTAGTTTGTAGAACATACCGTCACTGTCTCTCTCATGGACCGATGCCTCATCTTCCAGGTAGCTAAACTGGGTCCTGCATTTCTTAAGGGATGACAACGTTGACGTACTAGATTCTGACAGTTTCCTCTCATTTTTTGTGTCCTTAGATGTTACATCTGTGATGCTGAATTCTGACACTGAGCTGAGGACAATGCCTTTTATAGGTTTCTCATCTTTCAGAGCTAGCGGGTTTTCTAGAGTAGGAAAGATGGTCAGAATTAATTTATCAGGAAGATTAGAAGTTCTGAGCTTACTTCTACATGCAGTCTACGTACAATCTCATACAGTCTAAGTACATAAGGCCCCAGCACTGTCATACTTGGCTATTACTATAAAGACAGTTGCTATGTAGCTGCCTTTAATACATAGTTACTTACGTGTTGTCTTTCATGAAATTGTCTAACCCACTTTTGAAGCTTCTTAGGGTAGTGGCTATCAGTACATCTGATGGTAGCAGTTCTTACAGTTTAAACTGTATGTTGTGTGAATAAGTACTTCCTTATTCTGTCTTTAATCTCCAGTGAAGAACATGTTGCTAACAAACATGCCTAGACATGTGCTAGGCTTAAGATATTGCAGAACAGGGGTACATTTCAGGTTCTCATCCTGGATATATTTTTACATTCAAACCCAAACTTAGACGCCCATCTGTTCTTGCTGACTGGGAGTACATGTGCACAGTCAAAGCTAACGTCATCCGGGCCCCTTCCTAGAGACATCCAATCTGGCCAGTATGGCATATGCCTTCAGAGTATTTCATGCGGAATACTACTGTCCATGGTCCTGTCTTTGGACAGTAATTTGAAGGTTCAGCAGATCCAAAATGTTGCTGCCAGACTAGGTCTAAGGAGCATGCAAATACCTAGTTACCATGTCTTCTCTGGCTCCCAGTTAATTTCTGGGAACAATTCAAAAAACTGGTTAAAAAGCCCTATGTAAATTTTGTCCAGGTTATATGAAGAACTCTGTTTCTCCACATGAATCTGCTTCGGCTTTAAGAGCATCAGAGCATACCATTCTCTTAACTCTGTCACTTTCAAGGAACAACAGAGATGTTCTGTGGAGATGTTTAGGAAGGTCAGCTTGGTCCAAACAAAATCTTTAGACAACTTTAGACAAGAAGGGGTGCTTCTTTTTATGTGATATGACTTTAACGGCTTTTAATTTGTTCACTATTTTAACATAATCATCTGTTTTGTTGTCTTTTAATATTATATAATAGGGTAACATAGAAGGAACAAATCTCAAAATGTGAGATGAATACACTTAGGCACCTCCTGGATAATGGCAGCACCTGGTTGGCTTATCCTTTAATTTTTTAATTGTTTTTTTTAAAAAAATTAAGAAAGGGAACACAGAAGGAGAATCTCTGAAGAATATGAGGACTGTGGACATATTTGGTCACTTCCTAGGCAATTATAGAAATATGTCAGCTGGTCCTTCTACTCTGGAAGCACCACTGGATTTTATTGTGATGGGAATGAAGGAAAAGTATATGATAATAATTGGTTTTTAGTTGTTATCCACTCTGAGGCCCAGAAGTGGGAGATGTGATCCAATCAATCAACTAGTCAGCCAGTCAATTTGTCAATCTGAAATCTGGGGCATGGAGTTAAAAGACCAGGATTTTAAGCAAGGAAGTTTGCATCAGATTCTCTCTAGATCTTTTTATTAATTTGCAGTCATAGATCAGTACTGTCATTCCAAGGCCAAGTTCCATAAATATTTTGATTAACATTTGTTGATTTTTAAATTTATGTCATTTTCCAGTGATGTCACCGCAGTAGTACAAGACTCCCCCATGCAAGCTTTTCCAGTGTTACTCCAAGTGTGATAGTCAATACAGTTTTCCATAAGCAATTATACAAGCAACCATTTGAACAACTGCATGTACACATTTTGACACAATTTTTTGCATAACTGTTTCTGCAAGAGTGTAATTTATCCTAACTGTGCTAGTAAAGATTTCCACTCCATAAGCACTGTGATGGATTTAGGCCTCTATTATCCCAAATATAGCTCACTGATATTAAACCAGTTAACATACAGTATTGGCTCTTTAGCAAAACCTATTCATGGGTATATTAATTATTTTTAACATATCCTGAAAATTTGATCAGTTTTCCAACATTCCCATTATGAGCAAATGAAATGTTCATAAGCATTCAACAGTACTCTGTGAAGAAAATTTGGATGGAAATAATCAGTAAATGCAAGATTAGCATTTGCTATATCCACAGGCTGCTCTGTGCATCAAGCTGAGCGTTATCCTTCAAGTACTGCTGGAGAGGAAATCAAAACTAGAGGTATAAAAAGCATAAAATTAACCTGAATTCCCCATTACAACACCCTCAAAGAAAAGAGTTAAAAAAGAGCTGTCATTCAAGGACTCTTTTGTTTGTTCAAGAATGAAAATAGAGTGCATTTTACTGTCAGGCTCTTATTCTGAAAAGCTTCCACTAAGTAATGTTATATGTTTCTTGTTACAGAAAGATCAAGTCCTGCTACAATCACCATAACAAGCAACTTGCTATGACAAGCAGGATCCTGTCTTCCAGACAACATCATAGTCGAAAGAAAGCGGAGCACAATTATAGGTCTCCATTTCATTTTTATGCAATTACCGTCAGTTCAACCATAGGGCCCATCTACATTATATCTTTTATCAATTTAACACTTGTAGAAAGTGTCTGCAGAAATCAAGTTTATGCAGGCCAGCATGAGTAGCTTTTTTTTAATTCTCTAGCATTCTTTGACCAAAATCCCAAGCCCAGAAAGTAGGGGAAAATAAAGGAAGACAAATAGATATTTAATACAAAATTGGTATTATTTGCAGCCAGTTTAAATTAGAGTGCTCCAAAATGAATTACAATTAAATGTGGGCATCACGTTAGTTTCCAGGATGCTAGCCCACATTAACCACTTCATAATGATTAAGAACTGTAAGAGTTTTTGAGCTCAGCGGTCCATTTCCATTCGCTTCTATTGACAAGAAACAAGAGAAAATATTGGGACCTCTTCAGATTTAGGTATGTGACTTTACAAATGTAAAAATCACTATAATATAGTTACCTCAAAATCACTATAATATAGTTGCCTTCATACTATGTTAGCCAAAGGCTGCTAAAGCAAGCAAGCAAGATCCCACCGAGAAAGAAAGACTTCATTCAGGGTGAGCTAGAGCTAATAACCTAAGGGAAGTATGTACATATTCCTGTATGTTTTCTTCCATAAACAAAAACATGTGTGCAAAATGTGCTCCATTTCAGAGTCAGCCTTGGACAAAATGCATTCTGGAGCACAAATCTCCTTTGAAATGTATCACAAGCCTTGGGAATTTACAGCCCTCCAGAGCAAAATGTGCTCCATTTCAGAGTCAACCTTGGACAAAATGCATTCTGGAGCACAAAATGTGAACCAAAAGGAGGTGTTTTCCATCCCTACCCAAGACTCAGAAGTTGTCTGATTTCTCAGACGGTTGAGTTCCTCATGTGGGTGTTGCTCATGTCTTGGTTCTGGTTATATGACACAAGACCACAGACTCATCTGACCACGTTTTCTTCTTCTTCTTCTTTGGAGTCCTCCATGGTACTATTCATCATTATTCTGTCTATCCAACTTCAGATCGGTCTAAGCCAGAGGATCCCAAGTGTTTACCCTGAAGCCCTTGTGGCACCTCCCGATTCCCTTGTGCAGCGAGCAAGCCAGCCAGGAGCAATGCAGAAGCCAATCTTCATTTTTTTTTCCCCTCCAAGCCAGCGGCGCTGCTTCTGCTGCTTTTCTGACTCCAGTTCCAGCTCCTTTGGGCTTCTTTGCTTCCTGCTCCATCTCATCCCCCTCACTGTTCCTCATGCTCTGCTGCCACTGCTGCAGCTCCAGGGATCCATGAGTCCAAAAAGTTTGAGAACCCCTGGAACATCCCCTATGCCATCCCTTGAGAGTCCCCCAATTTGGTTTAGACCAGGCTTGTCCAACCTGCGGCCCAAGGCCGCATGTGGCCCAGGTTAGCTCATAATGCGGTCCAGTGCAATTTTTTAAAAAGAAATTCCAAAGTTTCAAGATACACTGCCGGCGCTTGCGGCCGGAATGTGGCTGGGGCATGTCACATTAGACCCTTCTCTGTAGCAAACAGCCACCCAAACTGGACCCAATCCTAACTGAAAGCTGGTGTTTCCCTCTTCCAAATTCTATTGAGCTCAGTCACTGCTTGTTGAGACAGGCAAGTCCTTGCATGGTCATTACAAAACACTACATGATAAATTAAAAATATATCTATTTCACACTTATTAAAATAGAAATAATTAGGGACAGGGGGGGCTGCTTGACTGCATTGCGCCGTCCCCATCAATAGGTGGACCCCCTCCCGGCTCCATAAAGCCGCCGGAGTTGAAGCTGGCATCCTCTGCTGTCTGAGATCTCAGCTGCCGGTAAATGCGCTTGGAGCGGGGCTGCGGAGGACGGCTAGGGCTGCCCCCCCATGCAGCCCAAACCAAATGTATGTGCGGCCCAAACCAAATTTTCGTCTTCTAATGTGGCCCAGGGAGGGTGAGAGGTTGGACACCCCTGGTTTAGACCCTTCTCTGTAGCAAACAGCCGCCCAAACTGGACACAATTCTAACTGAAAGCTGGTGTTTCACTCTTCCAAGTTCTATTGAGCTCAGTCACTGTTTGTTGAGACAGGCAAGTCCTTGCATGGTCATTACAAAACACTACATGATAAATTAAAAATATATCTATTTCACACTTATTAAAATAGAAATAATTTTACATAGTCCTATATCAATCATATCATAGTTATATATTTATTCATATCAGAATTTCTATCAGAAATTCAATGTATACATATCCAGCATAGCTTCCAGAAATTGTAATCACAATATGATCAGGAAACCGTATCAAGACAATGCCATAGAAGCAGATTACTTGCTGATAAAACAAAAAACCCCAGATACAAACATTGAGCTAAAACCAACTGTTAGCCACGTAGAGTAGATTCAATTAATCAATTTTACTTACTTAAGTGTTGATTTAGCAAATCTCATTTATTCAATTGGTCTATCCTTCTTGGGACTAACAATTCAATTTAGACCATTATTTACTCAATAGGAAAAAAGCTTACTGGAACAAGTAGTCCAGTACTCACCAGGGGAAAGTGTTTAATGGCATCACTTGAGTCTCTGGGGCAAAGGATTCCATAGCTTGGGTAAGGCCACTGAAAAGGCTCTATTTCTTGTCACAGTCTTTCCACTGTAGGCACTGGGAAGACCATAAGCAGCGGCCAGTCTGTACACAGTTTACAAAAGGGCCACTTTCAGAAGAGTGTGGAGAACCTAAATTCCACTAATCTATTAGCTTTGCATGAAAGGGGAGGGGATCAAATACATTTGTTTCATAGCCTTTTCATACCTGGGTTGACAATGTAAGCTTCACATGTTCTTAGGTGTTTAGGGATCTGGCTGCGGAGCCATAGATTGATTCCTCACCATGCCTTCTGAAAGTAGAGGCAACTTGTGTGCCCTTTGGCATTCCCTTCCTCAGAAGAAGGGAATGACAAACCACTTCTGAATATTCTCTACTTGGAAAATCCTGAAAAAGGCTCACCACAAGTCAAAATTCACCTGGCAACAACAATAATGATGATGATGGTCTTCGTTCAGTGTGTTAATGCAATGCCAGAGGTGTCTGTGCATGCAGAGGCTGAATGGGATGGCGTATTTGGTAAACAAGGTCCATGCTGGATAGTTCAGTGGTCTGGATATTTGGCTGCTGAGCCGGAGATTGGGAGTTTGATTCCCACACTGTGCCACCTTGACAGGGCTGAACGTGATGACCCATAGGGTCTCTTCCAACTAAGAATATTCTAAGAGATGTAAATGGGCCTAAGGGCAGAACTGATTTCTTGAATGGTGTTATGAGTTAGAATCTGAGAAAGCATCCCTAAATCACGTTTCTGATTGACACCGGAAGGCATTTCATCAAGTAGTTTTGCAGCCTTGTGAGATTCCATGTTTCTTGCCAGTTGAGATAATTTTTATAGGTTTCAATAACTATGCACAGCAAATACAGAAGAACTGACTGATTTTTAAGCCACAGCGCTCCAAGGCTTCAAAATATTAACTCTGGATACACGTATTACTCTGCTGTTCTATTTTGCCCAATAAAATCTCAGATTCAAGAATACCATAAAACCTCCTGCCATCTTTGCAGGCAAGGAGTTGGGATGCGAATTGTCGCTTGTTTCACTCTCACAGATAAACCACAAGGAATTGCAATAATTTTCTCCCTGGTGGGGATAGTAAGGAATTTTCTGAATTTCAGAGGTGTTCTTACATTGTTGGGAACAATATTTTATGCAAAACCTCTTGCCTTTTACCTTTTTTTCTGAATTAGTCATTTATGAATTATATGATGGCATTTTGTTTGCCCTAAGGTGGCAATATGTGTGCTGGAATTAGCACTGGAGAAAAGCAAGGAATGCAAAGCCAACCACACTTCAGGGGATTTGGTTTGGCCTCCAGCGACTACTTTTAACCTGTGAGCCAGATGAGCTTCGAACCAATCAAGAAAAGCTTTCACGCCTTAGGAACTTTGTTACAACAACCATGTGACCTATAAACCTATTTTGAGAGTACAGTATAAACCCTACCTTCACTTCTATTCATGTAGAGTGTGTTCTCATGGCAATTTGTATTTAAAAGCAATGGGCATGAAAATGCTCCACTGAAACTGTTTCAAAATTATACTGTATCCTAAGACATGCTTAAATCTTAACATGTTCTACTGTTTGTGGATCACCACATATTGTGATATATCAGGGATCAAATGACATTACTGTATCTTCAAATTAAATCTTACCTGAATGATCTGTGTGATTCAGAAGTACGATAGGGAGGACTTGTAGAGGAAGAGAGCTGGGACAACTGTCTTGATGGAAAAATCAAACAAGGATATCATCAGTAAGTGGTACTGCAAATGCTATAACATACCGAAAGGAAGGGAAAGACAGCAGAAAAATGGCAATCTGCAATATGATTGTTTTTCCAGTTCCTCCTAAAATGGGTAAACCTGCTGCCTACATTTCCTTGCTCAAATGCCCCCCCTCCAAATGTAGGGCCTTTGCTTTGTCCAGATGCAATGTCATGCGTACTTCTATATTATATGGCAGATTTAATGCCGTTCATTCCTCCTAAAATGGGTAAACCTGCTATATTATATGGCAGATTTAATGCCGTTCTCTATTCTGAAAGACACTGCCCATGTGAACAGGGGGTGCTGGAAACCCTTGTTCATATGTTTTTGCACTGCCTGCTTCACTCAATCAGCAGGTCAAGGTTAAAGTTCGCTATATGCTGACGGCCAAGATGACTGACATTGTAGAAAGAGTTGCAAACTTCCTTGATAGTATTGTTAGGAGACGAACTGTTGTCCCTTTAAGGACGTCTAACACTTTTCTGCCCTCTTGATGCCTATATATGTAGTTACCTAACAAACTACCATGACTATGTCCATTTTTTTACGTATGCCAATAAAGGTTTTATCTATCATATAATACGATGAAGAGATATCTCCTGAATCAAGTCAGAATTATATATCAGTATTTGCTTCATCAACACCCAGTTACTCTGGGACAACAGCTTTATTTCCTACAGAAAATGAAGGATGAAGGTCCCCTTGGGTGACTCTGTTAAAAAGCCTCAGGCTACAGACCTAAAGCAGAATAGGTGGGAAGCCACTAGACTACATTTGAGGTTCAGAGTCTTTTAGGATGACATCAGGGAAGTCTCTAAGTTAACCTTTCATTTTCTAAACTCAGCTTCCTGGGTTTGAGGGCCCATACTCTTCCCAACCCATTGGTCACAAATGATGGTATCATGCTGGACATGAAGGATCTGGGTCTCAGCCAGTTTAGCCAGGAAAAGACCAGCCATCCAGGCTCAAGTGCAGGGGTGTGAAATTTTCAGATGTTCTTAAAAGATAAGTCTCAAGGACTGCTGGATACCTCTGTGGTTTAGGTATCTGGCTGTGGAGCCAGAGGTTGGGAGTTCAATTCCTCACTGTGCCTCCTTCATAGGGGTTGGACTCAATGATCCATAGGGTCTTTTCCAGCCCTGCATTTATTATATTATATATTATTATCCTTGATCACTAGTCATGCTGGCTGGATCTTTGGAAACTGGAGTCAGCCAGTTTCCAACTGGAGTCAGTACTGGGGCAGCCACAGGTCTCCCCCCCCACCCGAAACTGTTTGTCATGCTTGATCTAATACATTGCTCAGTGGTAAACAGTATATTACTTAGTGGCAAGAACACTTCCTATTTTTGTAGATCCTGAGTTCTTTTTTCCCCCTTCTTTCACCAACTCTCTGTTTATATCATTTTCACTTGTTCCCACATGTAGATATGTCTTGTCGTACTGGAGCACATGTCTGTAGAAAACTGTTAAATCACAAACACCAACTTCAAGGAATGTTTTTAAAAAATATATGATTAGATAGCTCACAATTATCTTAGATACCTTCATCTCTGCAACTATTTTTCTTCCACCCTTTTCTCTTTTTTTCTTGCCCCCATTCTTTTGTATTTGTAATTAAAACCTAAATGAAAATATTGTTTTATCCCATGTTTCTAGAACATTGGTGTATAAAGAACAGCACAGTGGCTGAAATCCAGTAGAAAGCTACAACTAGAGTAGGCTCATTGAATCAGTGGAACTTAGGGAGGACCTCACTCCCAACATCCCCACTGATTCAGTGGGCCTACTCAAGTTGTGATTTACTGAGTTAGCTGTGTGGCTCTGTAACGTACACTACAGATTTAGTTCAGAGACTAAAGAACAACAGCTCCTAAAATGAACAGGAGCCTTGAAACAGAGGTCTTATGGTTCTGGCTGAAATTCAGCACAAATTACGATCTGATTTCATAGTCTCACAACCTTTCCATTTCTTAGACTGAGACGTAAATAAGTATGTTAGGAGGAGGTCTGTAAAGGTTTATTCTGAGAGCAGGAAACTGTACATGAAGCTATAAATAAACAATAGATTTCTGATGACATCATAAAACCACACAAACCTCTTCTCTTTTGATTTATGATGATATATGAGTAATTCAAGTTAGACTTTATTTGACTCACTACTGGAGTAGTAAAGAAAAGCAGGTGGCTTGACCTTTAAAAAAGAATATGTAATTAAAAGTGTTTGTTTTTCTTTAAATTCTATCCTTGAATCCTAAAATCAAATACAAGTGACCAAGTAGGTTTGTTACACTGTCTAACATTTATTTTATTTATTTGAATGTATTAATTTAACATCGTTCCGGATCCAGGATATAGGTCTTAAAGTATCAGCCTTAGCTTGCAATGCTCTGGCTTTGTGAGGTGTGAGCTGACCTGAGAGAATCTTAACTCTTTTTGGACATTTAATTCTATTGTTTTGAAAGGGTCCCCCCCCCCCCNNNNTCTAGCTCCCATGTATGTGAATCTGCTTTCTTGCAAACCATTGTATGTCACTTAAAAGATTATAAATACAGAGACATCAAAAAGTATGTTATGGGGAGGTCAGCAAAAGGCTGATGTTAAAGAAGACTGAATTTTTAAGCTACACTCTTTTAAGTTAAACACCTCTATAGGAAATCTATATAGGTAATCATGCTTGCATATTAGAACAAATAACACTGTTGTGGTAGAGTAATGCGTACTTGTATTAGGAAGAATAAAATACCACATTCTACTGAGCCAAATTTTGAGAAACCCACAAAATGAGTACCCTGACTAAATTGAAAACAATAGTAGCTGGAAAAGACAATAATGCTGGAAAAATGTGAAGACAACAGGAAAAGAGGTAGACAAAGTTATTGGGGAAATTCGCTAAAAAAAACAAAACAAGAGAGAGAGAGAGATTTCTACTAATTCAGTTATTCCTTTTTATTAGCAGGGTATAAAGTCCTGATAAACACACAGACTAGCACTTTGTATGGTAAAAGTCACTCTAAAAGCATTTAAAGTTGAAAAAAGGTATCTTTACTTGCAGGTACCAAGTGCAGTTACAGTTACAGTCAGGATAAAAATATTTTAAATAAATAAGTAATGAATAAATTTGATGTGATTCCGCATGCTCCTAATTTTCCCATTGTATAGCCCATGAAGACAGTTAGTTCACACCCAAATGGGTGCCATTTTTTGAGGTGACAACCCTGTGATTGCAGGTGCATTGTGGCATTAAAAGAGAGCATGGAGGAAACCCCCTCCTCCATTTCCATATTCCTTTAAAAAAATTTCCTTAACAGACGCAGCACAATTCTAATACCATGCTAGGTCGATGCATTGCTGTTTTGATGTGCCACTTACTTTAAGGAACGTCACTACAGCGCGATGCATGATGAGCACAAGAGAAGGGAGGGGAGAGGGCTAGTCAACTCCAGGGACTCCATACTGGCAAGGCAGCACAGTCCCAGCAGAGCCCTGGCTGAGGAGAAAGGCTGGGGAAAGGGGCAGGGGGGATTACCTGCCTTCCATCTCCCCAACCTTCACCCCAATGTTTTCCACTCATGCCGGTACTGTTGCTACAAGCTTGCCCCGTCACCACGGTTGCCTACTTACACGAGTAAACGAGATAAACTTACTTGGAAGTAAACCTGTGCTACAAAAACAGACCCTTCTTGCAGCAGGGGAAAAAAAACATCTCCAGTGTGAATGGAAGGATCACTCAAGTGTGATGTAAAATAGAACACATTGAAAATAAAAACCTTTTAAGTGCAAACTAGACTGCCCCAAATTCCTCTCTCTGGACCAGCCCCTTGCTTCCTGCCCAATTCAGATCTTTTTGGTTCAGTAGCTCGACTTTTTCTTTCTTTCTTTCTTTCTTTCTTTCTTTCTTTCTTTCTTTCTTTCTTTCTTTCTTTCTTTCTTTCTTTCTTTCTTTCTTTCTTTCTTCAGCTGGGCTGGAGTGCTTCCTGTGTGGGTGGAAAGGTCGTTCAGAGGGAGGCTGCTCCCATTGAAGAGCTTGCGGTTCCCTTTCTTGTGAATCTGGATCTGTGTGACTGCCCTAATTATGAACAGAATTGTCTTTTTGTCACTGATTACAGGCATTAGCCCTTGTCTGATGAAATACGGAAACCAAAGAGGCTGCACATCAGGTGCCAAATGTATAATCCTAATTTTTAAGAAAAAGGTTTTTTTCCTTGTGTATGTTTAATTAAAATAAGTTATGTTAATTCTGCACATTTCTAAACGGTGACATGAAAAAGCATTGAATATAGACATTTGAAATATGGGAGGTTAAAAACTATTTTGAAAATATAAATCTTTTTAATAGGACTCAGCTACTGGAACTATTAGAATAAATATATGATAGAGTTGACATTTGGAGCTGTTTCATCTCATCTCCTCCTCTTTCCCTACCCTTCCATTTTTTAATAAAGAAATATCTTTCTTGGAAGACATTTTGTAGCCAGACATCCTATACAAGCTGAAAAGGGGAGGGGGGAGGGATGGGATGGGATGGCAGCAAAAGGAAGTTATGAAAAGATTCCCTCTCCCACAACCAGTTTAATAAAATTAAAGCAATTTATGTAATATTGATATGTCGATATGTTTTTCAATAATTTTTCCCCTGTAATTTAAATAAAATTCTCATCACTTCAGAAATTATAATTATATGTCTTCCTCCCACTTTGAAAATGGCACAAGGTGCTCATTTGCAGAGTTCTACTCTTCAAATTTTTCCTGAGAATAGAAATGTCATGACTCAGTTAACAATGCTTTATTATTCACATTGATCTTTTTTTATAGTGTTCTTTATCTCAAAAACATTGTAAATCAGATAGCTTCCTCCCACTCTTTTGTTCATTTGCAAATTTTTATTATTCTTGTTTAAGAAAGCAATGGAGTGTCAAGAGTCACTATATATTGTTTATATTCTTTTTCTTCCT